TTGTAATTAAATCTAAGCAAAACTATAATTAAAGTGGTGTTGCAGCTGGAAAATCTGGTGCAGCCATTGCTGGAATATCATTAGCATCGGTTTTGGGGGCAATCTTTTTAGCAGCGTGCTTATATTTCGGTTTATACAGAATGAAAAAGGTGACAAAGGACTCATTTCGCCACAAAAACCGAAGCATTGAGAACGCGAATGGTACTTCATAAAACTTTTTGGGTTTATCATATCTTTTTTCTCAAATAATGCCTCATTCTTTTCTCAAATGATGGAAAAAGTTTCAGAGTCAGAATTAAGTTCTGTTCGAGTCTCACAGCGAAAAGGTGTTACTGTGGATAAATCTGTGGAGTTCACGCATGAAGAATTAGCTGAGGCCACGAACAATTTTAGCATAACTTATAAAATTGGGCAAGGTGGTTATGGAGCTGTTTACTACGGGGAGTTAAGAGGCGAGGTTTGTGCTAAGTTAATATAAATGATAAAACTCAACGGACTTGTGTGAAAAAATGAAATGAATAATTTGTTCGTGTGGTTCTATTACAGTATGATCCATGATAAATGATAAATTCTTTTAATGATTAGTTTTAATTTCTATTTCCACAATTCTTGTTTGATTATTACCCTTTGTGGCATTTCGTACATCATCTCGAAAAGGTTTATCAAATAAAGTTCACTTTAAAATTCAGAAAGCTGCTATAAAAAAGATGGACATGGAAGCTTCCAAGGAGTTCCTGGCCGAGCTCAAGGTCTTAACACACGTTCATCATGTGAACTTGGTAACTAACTGAAATGCATAAACGAGTCATTTGGTTATTGGTAGTTAAGTTAGTAGTAATAATCTCGGATTTAACTTGTATATTAGTAAATTTTTTTCGTGTTTTTTGTAAAATGTAGGTGCATTTGATAGGATACTGTGTAAAAGGTTCGTTGTTTCTTGTTTATGAGTACATAGACAATGACAACCTTAGCCAACACTTGCGTGGTAAAGGTAAAGGTAAAAGCCATACACTGAAATTGCAAAGCAATAGATTTTTTTTTCTTTTTTAATTCTCTATAAATTTAATTTTTTTGTTTATTTATTTTGTTTTTATTCATTAACAGAGCCATTACTATGGCCCACCAGGCTGCAAATTGCCCTAGATTCGGCTAGAGGACTCGAATACATACACGAGCATACGGTTCCACTATATATTCATCGTGATGTAAAATCCGCAAATATTCTAATCGACAAGAATTTTCGTGCCAAGGTCTTTTATAGTTTTTCATTTGCATAAATAGCACATTTTTCAACTTGAAACCTCAAAATTTAAAGGCATTTAAGCTCAATAATTAACCATTCAGGTTGCCAATTTTTTTTTTTTTTTTTTTAATTATTATTTTGCAAATTCAGGTTGCCGATTTTGGTATGGCTAAATTAACTGAAGCCGGAGGGGCTTCTTTACAAACGCGTGTTGTGGGTACTTTTGGATACATGCCACCGGAGTAAGTTAATCCACATTTTCTTATTAAAGTTTCACAATTTTGAAAAAAAAAATAATAAATTAGTGAACTTCTTTAATAAAGACAATTTTTTTTATTTCGTGTTATCTGTTGCCTTTCATGCAGGTACGTGTGTGGAGATGTTTCGACTAAGAGTGATGTGTATGCATTTGGGGTTGTTCTTTTTGAATTAATATCTGGATTACAAGCAGTTGTGAAGACAAATGGTGAAGATACAGAAGCAAAAGGCCTTGTTAGTTTGGTAATAAAATATAACTACACTATAATATCCATATTTTCTCACTAGTTGAAGTAATCTTAAGAGGCTAATTAGCCAAAATAAAAAACATATCCAAATTTTGTTAACAGTTGGGGTATCTTTTGCAATTTTGAAAATTAGGTTGGTTTTTCTGAGATATGATGATCAAGAAACTTTTTTTTTTTTTTTGGCATGGAATTTTCAGTTTGAGGATGCTTTTAACGAGCCCGATCAAACCGAGAGCATACGTAAACTCATCGACCCAAGGCTTGGTGATGAGTATCCTCTTGATTCAGTCACTAAGGTAAACACAGAAAAACTGCGGATTGAAAATCGAACTTTCAAACGAGTGATTTTTTTCAGTGTGATTAGAAAACAAGAACTGTGTAATGTTTTGTAGGTGGCTCATCTTGCAAAAGCTTGCACACATAAAAACCCACAACAGAGGCCAAGCATGAAATCAGTTGTAGTGGCACTAACAACATTATCATCTTCAACTGTGGATTCGAGCAATTGTTCCATCTAAGAAAACGGGCCTCGATTTTTTTCGTTTATTAGTCAGTTAATAGACATGTATAAGAAGATAATTCCATTGTTGTATAAACACGGCCTATTTTGACGTATAAAAATCGATTCCAACATGTAGTACTAGTATGTGAAGATTCAGCAGACTTAAAAAAATATATATAAAAAAAAATTGGTGAGCACTTTTAATCTTCATGTTTTATGATTTAGAAGTAGATTACGAGTGTTCTCTTGATCTGCAGCTCTCTGACTGCTCAATTTTAGTGAATCCGGGAGAAATCTCCATTGCTCTTCAGGTTTGACTATCTAAAGGCAGTTCTTTTATATATACGTGTGATTTTAACTAGTTATCATGTCAAATTAGTTATTTTTTTCCACTTTTCAATTCCAACTAAAAGATTTGACAATAATAAATAAATTCGTGATGAGACTAATTCCAAAGTATAGTTGTATAATACCTGGTAATTCAATGTCAACACTTGTCTGGTTTTTCTACTAAAAACGTGTTTGAATAAAAGAGGAAGCTTTTTGACCCAAAAAATAAAAAGGGTCAACAATTGCTAAGCTATGTGTAACGCTCGGCGCCGACCCACCTAGGTCGCCCCATGCCTAAGTCTTGTAAATAGATGTCTTAAGCAAGGTCTTGTTTTGCCCAGGAACTTCTAGAGGGCTCTAGAATTATATGGATACTTATAGTAGCAGCTTGAAGGACCTAGAGCCTTGTAGAGGTTTGTACATAGGGCAAGAATCTTGTAGAAGGTTCTAAGGCATGTGTGTATAAAGTAGGATTTTGTGGAAGGGTCTAGAAGGTACAAGATCTATGTAAGATCTAGATTATTCTTTAGAGGAGATTGTGCCTATAAATAGGAGAGGCCTCTTCATTTGCAAATCATCCAATCAACATTTAAACTCTCTTGTATAAAGTTTGTGCAAATAGTAGTATACTTTCAGGGTAAACATTTGACTACACATCCAACCTGACTAACAATGAGATTTCAAAATGTTAGGAAAAATTTTTAAATTTTGAGCTTCCTCATATGGCAAGCAATTTTTGCAATTAAAATTTTTCAATTTTGAGCTTCCTCATATGGCAAGCAACTTTTTCACTCAGTAAAAAAAAAAAAATTCTATTTCCCGTTCATAACAAACTAGTACAATACCGTGTAGATGTTTGATAAAATAATTTAATGTACAATAAAATATAAAATAGTTTTTTTTTTCTATATATTGTTATAGTTGAAAAATAAATGAGGAACAATATATAACAATTTATAATAATGAAGTAATTCAATTAACAATATTATTTTAAATTTTGAAAACTAATTTATCTATATCACTAGTTTTATTTATAATATTTTAAATTATAAAGATATATATCATTGTTTTGCATTTTTATATATGTAATATTTGTTAAATCGAAAATCGTTAAAAGATAATTAATTTGATATATCATATATAAAAAACAAAATACAAATAAAAAAGGTATAAAATTTAAAAAATAAGAAGAAGACACATTTATAATAATTGATGTATGGATTAAATAAAAAAAAGAAATGTAATAATAGTAATGTAGGAAAAGGAAATGTAAAATAGTTTCGTTAACTAATTGTATAATAAAAGAATACTAGTACAGAGCTCGTGCGATGCACCGGGTGCACAATTTTAAGGCTATTTATTCAGGCTTATAATTATATACATGAGTAAAGAAAAATGTACGAGATATATATAGTACGTGACCCGTGCGAAGCACGAGATATATTTATTTAGAGAATATTATATTATAAGATGCAATATTCAATAAAAGTTTATAATACGCAAGAAAATTGTACAATGTTCAAATACCCGTGCGAAGCACGAGATATATTTATTTGTTTTATGATTTGATAATATAAACAAATCTATACTTAACTTTGACAAATAAAACAAATAAATACTTTAGTAAGTATTTAATGTATATACTAAATAGGAATATATTTGGTATAATCAAATACCAAATATAATCAAATAAGTCAAAGTGTACATTTTTATTTGGTATTAATTTTTTTATTATTAACATCTTTTTATTATACTTACCTTTTTAAAATAATACAAATAAATAAATCAATTAAATAAATAAAATATTATAATACCAAAATAGTAATGAAATTTAATGCAGTTGACTTTTCTGGATAGTAAATGTAATAAATAGAATCTCCTTTTATATAAGTATAGATTGTATAATACGGAAATAGTAATGCAATAAATGTTGTTGACTTTTCTTTATACTAAATCTGGTAAATGGTACACCTTTTAATATAAGTATAGATACATATCAACCACATATTTAATGCGAATGATATAAATATTTAATGCAATCCAAACCTAATTTTGTTTTATAAAAAATATTAATTCCTACCAAGTTTTTTGCCATATAGGATATGAATCAATCAAGGCAGCAAAAATCTTCATTTTCCGAAACGAATCCCAATCTCTTACAATCGTCCGTTACATCCCTCAACACGCTCGCTACATCTCCGTACAGAGGATTCGAACCCTGGCCCGTAAAGAACGCCGTAATCTCACCGTGCATCTCCACAAAGCTCCAGCCAGGAAACTTCCGGAGCCCGAGAGCCCGCATCTTCATCCACGCCTCCCCCACACTTTCCCACTTTCCCATCGAAGCAAAACCGTGCGCCAGCTGGACGTAATTCCCTGCATCCCCTAACCTGAGCCCGGAAATCTCATCGGCAATCGATCTCCCGAGCTCTTCTCTGCCCGTATTCCGGCAAGCATCGAGCATTATCCCTAAAACTTCCACAACTGGCTCTGTAAACATCCTCCGGTAAAAAACGTACGCCTCCTCAACCCTCCGGCCACGGCAGAGAAGATCCACCATACACGCGAGGTGCTCGATTTTCGGTTTCAACTCGTAATCGTTGACCATCGACTCGAAAAAGTCAACACCTTTATCCACGAGCCCGTTATGGCTGCACGCGTATAAAACGGCCAAGAAAATCACGTCGTTCGGTTTAAAACCCTTATTCGCGTATTCCGAGTACATTTCTAATGCGATTTCGCCTTTCCCGTGCGAGCCGTAGCCCGCGATAATCGTGCTCCAAGAAATCGCGTCGTGATGTGGCAATCTGTCGAAGCATTTTCTTGCCGAATTCAAGTCGCCGCATTTGGCGTACATGTCGATTAATGCCGAGCCCGTTTTGATACACGGGCTTATATTGCTTCGAAGGATGAAGTTATGGATCAATTTCCCTTGATGGTATGCCCCGATCGAAGCGCAGGCTTGGAGAAGGGAGATAAAGGTTACTGAATCGGGCTTTTGACGGGCCCAATATCTCATTTCTTGAAATAAAGATAAGGCCTTTTTCAAATGCCCGTTTTGCGAGTTGCCAGCGATGATCGAGTTCCACGACACAACATCTCTTTTCTCCATTGTGCTGAAAACTGTAAAACTTTCTTCCAAAAGCCCGGTTTTCGCGTAAAAGCTGATTAGAGAATTCTGCAAAGGAATATCGGCGGGAAATTTTTGCCTCAGAATGTAACAATGTACAGATTTTCCGAGTTTGATGGAACTCAGTTGAGCACAAGCTGCAACAACACAAGCCAAAGTTGCAGCAGAAGGGCACACTCTCGAATCGAGCATTTTACGGAAAAAACTCAAAGCTCGATCGGCCGAGTCGTTCTGCACGAGCCCGGAAATCAGAGCTGTACAAAAGATTACATCTTTATCGACTGTCCTTTCGAATATTTCTAATGCACTATTCACCTCTCTGCATCTCGAATAAAAGCCGACGAGTGATGTTGCTACGTGTTTATCGAATTCTAGTCCGCAAACCACTATCTGGCCATGGATAACTCGTCCCACATCGAAACTTCCCAACTTGGCAACAGCAGAGGCCAGGGACCCGAAAGTCTGCAAATCGGGGCTTACATTTTCAGCCCGCATTCGAGAAAAGAGTTTCAAAACCTCATCAAGATTTGCTTCCACAGAATACGCATTAATCAAGCTATTCCACGACACGATATCCTTCTCCCCCAACGACTTGAACAATTCCCGAGCATTTTCGACATGCCCGCATTTGGCATATACAGACAACAAACAGTTCATCAGGACTATTACGGACCCGTAACCCATTTTAACCACACATGTATGCAGAATCTCGACGTGCATTTTATCGGAAGCTCCGGTGAGCATATTCAGAATTGTGACTGAGCTGGGTACAATACCTTCGCGCTGCATACGGTTGTACATCGAAAACGCGCTCGCCATGTCACGGGCGTGCGAGTAGCACCAGATGATTGCCGTCCACGGGACGATGTTTCTTTCAGGCATCATGTCGAACACCTTGCGTGCGTTCTCGGAGTCGTTGAATTTCGCGTACAGGTTGATTAAGGAGGAGGAGGTGTACGGGTCGGATGAGAACCCGGAAGAGACGACCCGCTGGTGGAGGGACGGGCCGAGCCGGAGAAGGCCGAGGGAGGCGCAGGCCTTGAGGATCGAAGGGTAGGTGGAGGCGTCCGGCGGGGCGGTTGGGGTTTTGAGCATGGAGGCGAAGGTGAGAAGGGCGTCGCGGTGGGAGCCCTGGCGGGAGAGGCGGCTGATGGCGGCGTTGAGCGATTTGGTGGTGGTGGGGGCCGCCGCCGGGAGCGGTGGGGGGCGGAGAGCGGCGGTGGGTTTGAGCTTGTTCATTGATCATGGCAGAGCCTTTTTGGTGCCTGGTGCAAAACTGTACGGTGGGTAAACACTTTTCGTTGATTGGGAGTTTTCATTTTTAATAATGAAATCCTATTGGGATTTTTGCAATTCTTGAGCTGATTGAAAATGGTTTTGCTAATATTGTTTTAAAAAAAAAGTTGAGAGAATTGTTTTTTATTTTTATTATTATTTTTTTTAGTACTTTTGCGTACTACACAAATTCTTGTATGAGTATGTGCAGATGTAGGTGGATTAACCCATCGTAATTTCATCATAAATACAATCTCATGCTTTAAAATGTAATTTTTTATTTACGGTGATTTTTTAGAGTGGTGATTCAAATTTAAAATGTTCAGAGGTGATTCAAATTTTAAGAGCGCTCATCATTTTGACATTTTCAACTGGGCTACTCACAGATCAAAAGAAGAAAAATGAGAACATGAAAAAACTAAAATTAGAAGCATAAGACTTAAATCACCTCAAATCACACGTCATCAAGCAAGATGGTTAAAAACCTAAAATGCAAAGAAATAGCTATGGAGCTTCAATCGTATTCCTAGTAATCACCAAACCAACTTGAAAAAAAATAGCTTAGCCTCATGTTGGCCGATTGATTGTTTCGGAGTTGAAAATGCACGCGTTAAGATGGAAATAGCACAAAATTGCTTGTAGAACTTCCACAATTCGTAGCTCACTCATATGCCATAGTTTACGGTGGGCTCGAAGAAACCAAACAAGATTTGCAAGCTGCTACATTTCTGAAATAGAATGAGAAGAAAAAAAAAAATGCTAGCTCCAAAGAGAAATTACGCGAATCATCATTTCTTCGGGTACTCCCTTGCTCCAAATATGGTGGACCCGACTCTCACATTCGTACTGCCCATCTCGATCTACAACAATCACAAAAAAAGAGTTTGATCACTCGTGCTATTTATTGACCAACAGCAAATTTTGTATATGATAGAAATTCAAAGGATTAATCGAGTGGTTACTTTGTCAAGTTATATTAGAAAGCAGTCAAATGCTGTTTAGAACAAAATTCAAGAAAATAACACATCATAACACTCACAGCAAGCTCAAAATCACCAGACATGCCCATCGATAGCTCACATTGTTCTTCTCCCATCCCAAGTGCCTTACAAACCTCTGTTCTGCAGTTGGCTAATGTCTGAACACCCATTTACACCGGTAAGCTCAAGACTATTGTAATACGGAAAAGTTCGGATTATTTAGGGAAAAGCCTCTAATAATATTCTACTTTACTCTACCTTGAAATTCTCAGGGGTAGAAGTGTAGTCCAGCATTCCTATTGTCATCAGGCCACAGAATTCGAGGTTAGGGCAGTTCATACTGACGTGTTTAACGAGCTCCACGCAACCAGACGGCTCAACACCGGATTTAGCTGCAATCAAGCAACAAAATTAACTCACTCGCCTTTTTGTTTTTTCTCAAAGGGATGTGTAGTGTGGGTTCGAAAAAGACTCGAGTAAGCAAATAAAAAATTCCCATCCATTAAGACATACTCAAAATTACCCACATTCTTCACCGCTCGTGTTTACTTGGACCAACACTTTCAGCGGTTTTCGTCCGATGTTTCCAACTGCACGGTTAAGATGGTTTGCAATCTACACAGGGCAAGAAAAATTAGGGCTATTGATAAGAAATAAATTTTATATTGCCCTGGGAGGAAATGATAATAGTATACAAGAGAAAATTTCAACAATGTTATCAAACAGAATTTGGAAGTTGCATTTTGGCTGGAATAGCGGAATCCTTTTCCCATTCGGCTTTTTTATAAAAGAACAATATACTTATTCCAGTATAAGAGATTTTACAAACACAATAAAGGTAGCATAAAATTAGAACTAAGTAGAAATGTAATTTTTAGACAGTAGAGTAAAACAAATATCTTATTTTCAGGGCAAGTGCCTGCTCTATTGCTATGCATCTATCTGAGCAAGATTTCCTTGTCATAACTTTAGTTCCTTCTAACCAAAATGCACTATTGATATTCACAATTCTACCATCCAAATAGAGAATTGAATAAACAGATTTGGGTTCTGATTTGAGAGAGCTACAAGGAAAATCTGGAAGGAGCTCAAACTAACCAACAGCTATTATCATCCATGATAACTCATACACAATTGTACATCAACTTGTTCATGGAGGTTTACATGAATCAACTTATACGCTCCTTTGGTAAACATTCAGCACAGTACAGTACAATTTTTTTGAAAAGCTAAACAATGTGTGGAGCAGCATAACAACAATATTTTTCACACTATTCGTATACCTTCTCATCATCAACAGTTTCCACCATGGCAAGATTCTGTACACCAGCTGCAGATGCACGAAAAAAACCCAAACATACACATTAAAAGAAAAATACCTTTCTGGAGTTTCATCACAAAAGAACAGGCTCGACCCACAAGCAACCAACATAATAATTCAGCCTAGCCAAATTTTTCACACTTCCATAAACAATAGCCTTTATTCACAATACCGATCCCTTAAAACCATAATTTGATAACTAGATAGTTTATTTAACGGTTTGTGCTTGTGTTCCAAATTACACATTATGCACACACACACACATACAACTTTGGAACATCAAAACATTCAAATGGAAGAACTGAACAACAAAAGCACTTTCTACAGCCCCATCATCAATAGCCCTTCATCATCAACATAATTATCAACTTCCAAACACTAAGAACTATTTCATAGCCGCCCAATTCGAACAATAACATAGTTACTGAAACCTACACACTTTCAGATTCACCTAGTGAAATTATCACAAAAGAAATATGCACACTCATTACTTTGCTATTCTATAGACATACATAGAAGTGTCTTCACTTTATTACTCTGCAAATTCCCAATGAAATGCCATTCGATGTCCTCCGGCAGCTGAAATAAAAAAAAAAAATATGAAAGATATTCACCGTGAACGCGATTACGAAACCATCAATTCAACCGAATGAAACCATCTCATCAATTTGTTCCCAAATCAAAACAAAATGGGGAGGGGAAATGCAAGAGTGACCTGAGGAGCTTTCTCGACGATCTCCTGGACGTAGTTCTCGCCGAAGCAGCGGTGGCCGGCGTCGTACACCTGCCGGAGGAGGGAGACCGGCTTCGTCTTGCTCACGGCCACCAGTCGGACCCGGTCCGGCGCGCGTCCGGACCGCTGGGCGGCTTGGTTAACCCGCTGGAGCACCGAGCGGAGAGCCGCCGCAGACATGCCGTCGGTGGTGGAGGCCGCCTGCATAAATCCTTCGGATGGTGAGGATGAAGATAGCTCAGCCGGCTTGGATGAAGGCAAATCCTGCTTCAGCTCGCCTACCACTGGTTCTTCAGTTTCTGGATTGTTCATTTTTTGGTTGAATTTTTTTGGGTATTTTTTATTTCCAGTGTTCTAAACATATTTTTCCGTCCATTCTTACAAAAATTACGTTTTGCCCCCTATAAAGTTTTATTAAATGCTCATGAACTATTTTAGGGGCCAGCGCGGTCCGAGAAAGTTCGAGATTTATCATGTCCCGCTATTATGAACCGATCATGCTATTGACCGGTCTGGAAAAATTAAAGTTACACTAGCTTTTAATTATTTTGGACACGGTTTAGTTGGAGAATGTTTAAGTACATTCTAAATCTTTGACCAAATTTTTGTTGAGAAAAAGTTATATATGTATTTTTTTTAATATACTATACATAATTACGTATATTGATATATATTGTACGGTATACACATCTCAAGTAGTGTATATTTCTGTTATATGTATCAATAAAAGAATATAGTTCTTGAAAAATAATAATTATATCGAGCCAAATAGGGTTAGGCTAGGGTGCACGCATGTAGCCAAAACTAATACGATGCATTGGAGAACTATGTCATCGGTCGAAGTGCAAACCTGACCATCTTTACTGAGAAAATTACTTTTTTGCTCCTGATATATATGAGCTTCGATCCTGTTGGTTAGGACAACAATTTTATCGAGTTTTTTTATTATTGAATTAATACTAGTATTGATTCAACAATAAAAAATTCTAGTACTCATTCATATGAGTATGCGTATGATTATGTGTGATTATATGTAATCCAACTATTGCCTGTAAAATGTTTGTCAACCCTATTTGTTTTCTTGTTTATGGGCCCCGTCACATAACATTATGATTTGATATATAGCATATTACAGAGCGCCAAAGGCCCAAGTGAGTATAAAATACATGGGCGTCACGGGACTAAATTAAAAGTCAAGATGCCAAAAAAATGCACTTAATTAAAATTTAAACCCTACTGCATGATTTCTGGAAAAAAGTCAAATCAAATATAATCTTCATTGATTTAAGTGATTAAGCAATATTTTCCTATCAATCTTCTAGCCAAATTAATTAAGCATTATTTTTGTTTGTCAACCAGTTGACCCGACCTAATAAAACTTTTGTTAATATAATTATTTTCATCCTGAAAGAAATATATATATATACAGAAATATTCCATTAATTCAATACTTATGTTATACGGCGCCTTTTAATAATTTTATTCCCATAACTATACTATAAAAAAAAAATAAAAAAGAAAAATCAGAATTTCAAGTCTCCTGTAAGTATACTTCGGATTGAGGAGAACACTGGAGAGCAAAGAAAATTAGGCAAAAACATAANATAAAAAAAACAATAAGAGCAAATATATAAAATTGAACATAATTTTACCTATAATTTCGCGGTTAATTCATCTCAAACAAAACTGAAAAGGATCATATATACACACAAACAAATTAATTTCTGATACACCCTAATAATTAGTCTACATAAGTAAAATCATCACCCAACTCGGGCAGCTCCACGCAGACCGGCTCTGCCCGCTCGCCACATGGCGATGATGACCTGGCACACGGCAAGAACGACCTGCAAAGTGGGCACGTGAATCGACACATTTCAAGCCAGCTGTCCATACATGCCACGTGGAACACGTGGCCACATTTCGGCAGCTTGTTCACCCAATCCTCTTTGAGAAACTCCATTAGGCAGATAGAGCACGTCTCTTCGTGGGCCGGGCCCATATCACTGAACGGGCCCGCCGGAAGGTCCAGCTCCCAATATGGGCCGTCCACTGGCCGGCCCGTTTCGAGCAGGCCGTGCGGGTCGAGGAGGAATGCGGAGATTCGGAGGGCCGTTCGGGCTGCAAACACAAGTGGGGCCCACAAACAGCTGCTCATGTAGAAGATGAAAGATAGAGTAGAAAAAGAAAAACGGGTTTTTGNGGGTTTATATAGAGGGAGGGTGAAGGTTGGGGAATCGTGGTTAGTAAAAGTCAACCGGTTTTTTGTGGGGTTACTGACCGTGGTTAAGCTTTTGACTTTTGTGGAGTTTTTTTAAGAGAAAAGAGTATATATATAAAATAAATAAATTATTTTATTTTTTAAAATTATCATTTATTATATACAAATACAATAAGTTTAAAGTGAGTCACTTGTTTTTATTAATTAATAAGAGTACAAATATGTTAATTTCTTTAATGCATACAATTTCGTTTATCTATCACACAGTTTAGACTGAACTTATGTGACGGACATAAGAAATTACATATAGTGCGGTTCCACGCAGATGAAGCGCATCATAATAGAGTGAGTCTAGGTGTTTTAGTGAGATTTCATCCTAAAACAAATTGGTGATGAAATGAGTAGTCCACCAGACTTATAAACTAGCTAGATTTATCTACCCTATAGAATTAATGTAAGACATCGTGAGACAATTCATAAATAAATATAAACTCAAGTTAGAGTTGACCTGACTCTGATGTTATATAAAAATTAGAAAAAATGATGCAATCCCGCATAAGTAAAGAGACTGAATATGCACTTTACTTCATACCAAAATTAGTTATGGCGCAGCACCAATTTAAGTTTGAATTATTGAATATAGGATAAATTATTTATACATGACAATAATTGATGATGGTGGAAAAAATAAATAATAATATTATAATATGTGGAGCATGAAAAATGGGGGCGGTGGAAGGCCGGCGCCGACCCCACATTGCCGCCGGACTTTTCTCTTTCTCTCTCTCTACCTGAAATAATTTTAAACGATTATAATAAGTAAATCACAAAGAGACGAAATAATGAGTGTAATTCTTTTTTTAGTGCTGAGTCGTCCAAAGGGCTGAGATTAGCATAATATAATGATTACCTTTTTATTTTTCCCTATAAGTCAACGACATACAGATATATGGCATTGAATTGGCGGTTTATATTTTATTTGAGAAAATATAATTACTGGAGAAGAATCAATGTAAGAAAGTAGTAATTTTAATAATTGTAAAGTATTATGATATGAAGAATAATATGTAATTTTGTGGTGATTAGCATATATATGTGACAATGTATATAGGGATAGTTAAATTAAAAAATAAATAAATGTGTAATAATAAATTTTAAGTTAATAATAATATTGAGAAAATTGAGAAGAGAAGAATAAACAAAGAAATTAAGATTAATATATTTTCTTTATTAATGGATAAAAAAGTTATTTTGTTAACTTCCAATCCCACCCTTGTTTCTACAATAGTAATACAACAAAATTAATTTAGCGAATATACACACCTTCGTGTATCTTATGATTTATGATTTCATTTTTTTTTTTTTAGTATCTTAATCTTTAAACTGAAGCCTAAAATTGGACTTAAGGAAAAAAAAATAATAATTTTAATTGTTCAGTAAAACCACATAGAATTCCGTTTACAGAGCATTATAACCGATTAGTCAATCATCCACACATTATTGGAATGATTATCAAATCAGCAGTATAACTTCAAAATAAATCTTATATATATGGGTTTTACAATAATATTTCTAATTTTCATTACAGTAACTTAATTTTTGTTTATTAGTTTACGTATTCTTGATTACTAATGACTCTAATTGGTGTTTCTGGCATTTAACTTTATGAATAACCCATTAAGCTATTACTTATTTAGTTAGCTTAGCTTAGATTTATTTGATGCCTTTTATCTATTAATTTGTTGGAGTATTTTTTCAGGATAATAAATTTGTTGGTTGAGGTACAGTCAACTTTATAATCCATCACCAGTTCAGTAAGAATTATATTTTGAGCGTCAACCGAAAGCGTGTTCTATCGACATTAACGATCACATGGTTACGGAATAAATAACGATTTTCAAAGAAGTGCTGTCAGACATAACTACGTTTATGGTTAAATTCACAGACCATAATAATTTAAATACGCAGCCAATAGATATCTTGTTTAGAAGAAACTTTGTTAATGAGATTGCCATTAGATAATAATCAGTTTTTTCCCAAGTCACTTATATAAAGATATGTAAAAATATTAAGGTTGTTGTTAGATAATCATATTTTCTTATAAGATATCCATACTTTAAAATTAAAATGAGATACTATAAAAATATATAAATATAACTATGACATTTCATAACTAAAATATGTATTTTTGTTTCAAAAAATATAACGGATTTACCTGTGTAATGGTAAAACTGCCTCACATAAAACAAATTCAGATAAAAAATAATTTATACCAAAGGATAAACGTATTGTGACGATTATTACAACAATAAAATTAGAGAGATTTTCACTAAAATTGGGAGGTCAAACAGGAAATAGATTTTCACCCTCGTGTGTGGAGTGATTGTGAAATAAACAAGAGATACTAAGAACAATAATAGGATGGGCTGGATAGCCCAAAATCCTGGGCTGGCTCACTTGCACTGAAGCCCAGCTCAATTTTATAGATATGGGCTGAGCCCATTTTACTTTCAGGCTCGCGTGTAAGCTCCGAAACACTTGGGCCAGCATGTAAGGTGTTCTCCCAAGAGATCGAGCTTTTAATAGCCAAGCTTGGTCGAGCTTTTAGCGAGCAAAGCCGATAATCAAGCCTTGGCTTCTAATAGTCGAGCTTCAGCTTAAGCTTTTATCGAGTCCAGTCAAAGTCGAGTCGAGCCGAACTTATGATTAACTTGTTTCATTTAACACATTTAATTCTCACAGAGTCTAATGGTTGATATGTTTTCTTTTTTCCTTTTCATTTTACAAAATAATATAAAAACGCTACATACAGTGACTAAAAACAAAAAAATTGAACTAAATAATTTCTCTACTCAATTAATTCCCAATATGATGACATGTTTTCTTGTCCGATGTTCATGTACCCCACAAATCTTGATGAGATTAAACCATAATTTTTAATTTGTTGCATAAACAATCACTATAAAAGCAGTATGCCAAAAATAATTAGAATATTATTCTCCCAATTCTTCCTTCTTTACATGAGCTCGTGCTCACACGTCTAAGTATGAAGCTCTCCAAAATCCTACCAATTTGCAAACAACAAACTGAAAACGATCTTGAGTCCCCCTAACATGGCGCCCACAAACATTTTCCTTCTTATTTATCCTCTTCCAAATCATGCCCTTTCCTTCCCTAACCTCAAGCCATGGCAAAATCACTTTCCCTCCTCATAATTTCATGGCTATTAATGATCAACAACATTCCAATTTCTCGAGCACGCAAAGGTACGATTACGAACAATACATTTCCTAGTCAAATCGAATCGTATCCCAAATTGATGAACAAGATCGACTCGTGTTGGAGATCGGACTCCAATTGGGCCTTAAACCGAAAATCACTAGCCGATTGCGCTATCGGATTCGGCAGCAGTGTTATCGGTGGCAAAAACGGGCCCATATATGTCGTGACTGACCCGTCTGACGACGCAATCAACCCCAAACCAGGCACACTCAGGTTCGGCGCAATCCAGAACCGTGCCCTGTGGATCGTTTTCCAAAAGGATATGGTTATCACGCTTAAAAATGAGCTTATGTTGAATAGCTACAAGACCATAGACGGTCGAGGAGCTAGGGTAGAAATATCGGGCGGGCCGTGCATCACCATCGAAGGCGTGAGCCACGTGATAATACATGGGATCAGTATTCACGACTGCAAGCCTGGAAAACCAGGCCTGGTCCGGAGTACTCCGGACCACGTCGGGCATAGGCTCGGTTGCGATGGAGACGCGATCAGTGTTTTTTCGTCCTCGAATGTTTGGATCGACCATTGTTACTTGGCCCGGTGCGCGGACGGCCTAATCGACGTCACGCATGCATCGAATTTCGTGACTATTTCCAATAACTACTTCACTCAACATGATAAGGTATGCAAGTTTGTATTCATAAATATTTTTTTTTCCGGAACGATAGAAAATTCATGGATAAAACATGTATTTACAACAAAGAGACAGACCAATAGCAGCCGAAACGGCAGTCAAATAACCGAATTTAATGAGAGAACATCCCAAAAAGAGACTAAACTACCACAAACTCACCCATAATAATAAAAATACTAGTCTCCGACAAGTGTAGAATGAACTCAAAAAAGGAGATTACTAGCAATTTTGTTTTGATCATCATTGTTTG